CGAGACGAAAGTGCGTTTACGTTGATGGGACGAGACGAAAATGACGAACAGAGTTGCAAAACTCAGTCAGTTAAACGTTAAACATATAGGAGCAGCTTCAGTCCGCTCTGACAGCTCTCATCAGCCTGCTGTGCTCCTCCAACACACAGACACACGCGCGCGCACACACACGTTGAGTTTTGTGGTTGACGAAAACAAAACTGGTTTAAAGCCGAAATATTCCCACACTTGGGCTGTTGCGTTCGGTTTAGACACCAAAGCTGTCGTGTTCATTCTGTTAGCTTGCTTTTCACTCACGACGCGCACTTGCAGCACTGTATCCAAAAAGTCTGGCTGTGTCCGAAATGGCATACTGCCTACTATCTACTTACCTACTCAAGCAGTAGCTACTGCCTACTGACTACTCAAAGATGATTTGAGTATGCCGCGGCTGCCCGAGCGTTTACATACAGATGCAAACTAAATACCCCAGGATGCATTTCGTGCCGGCCGGACCCAGCGCCGGGAAAATTTAAATAGTCCTACCACAAGCTACACAGAACGACTGCATTCTGGACAAATTATATAAATTCATTCAATAATAATATTTTTTCTAGCGAGAAAGTAAGTGTTTACATCACGATTATGAGCCCAGTTGTTTGAAATAGTGGCTGTTTGTAAATTTGTCTCGGCGTTTTCGGAGACCGAAGCGTCCGCTTGGTCGGTGTTTGCGTCTATTTACCGTAAACACTGGGCGGCAGCAGCTCCCCCTTCACGTTTCCAAATTATTGCGAAGTGTTTTCATAATCAACATGTACACGACACAAACCGGGCGGCAGTGGATGAAAAAAATCACACAAACATCTGTGTGTCCATGGTGATAATGCTATACACCACCTGCTGGTTGTGTGATGAGCAGCAGAGGGCTGCAAAATGACCAACACACAACATAATTATTATGACCTTGTTCGGTTATTCTTTGGCAAATACATCATTTCCCGACTACATTCTTTTCATGTACAATGATAATTTCAGAAACCATCAGATTTTCAACCACAAGTAAGAATTAGTAAAGCTCACATACATTGTCAACTGGAAATTCCCCCGTTTGTATATTCTGAATCATGTGCTCTCTGCCAATAATAATTTTTATTAATCAGAGGTCTGTGCTTAATATGAGCGACCACTTTGATGATGCATTCAGAGATGAGAAGATGCTCAAACTTGATGTAATAAATACATCTTTAATAGACACTTAAATAAATAAAGTCAATTCATACGAAGAGTTAAAAACATTACTTATAATCCTAATTTAAAATACAAATAAATCTGGTAAAAAGATCAAAATATGATAAAATGATAAAAATTGTGTAATGTATACTGACTAAATATTGTTTATCTATTTATATATATCATTATTATTGCAATCACATGCTATCTATTTCTTTTCAGCCTCGGGAAGGAGGGCCATATTACCAGCTGAGGTGCGCAATGCATTGTGGGGCAGAAGCAGTACGTGAAGCAAGCTCCGTTCCACACTCAGAAATCGAAGCCGATTGAGTATACATCCGGGCATTTCTCGCATACACAAAATTTGCATACTGTACAGTGTGAACGCACTGTCTACTCAATTCAGAGGCGGCGTTAGTAGGAGTAGTAGGAGTAGTAGGCCATTTCGGACACAGCCTCTGTGTCTGTGCGCGCCTACGTGTACCTGTGCGCGCCAGCCCCCTCACGACAAAGACACTGAATGACTGACAGGAGGGTTCACTAACTCCGTTCATTCCGCTATAGAGCCAACGCCCCCAGGTGCCGAGAACAATGCGCAGAGTGAGACCTCTTCTCTCATCCAGCGTGTTTGGTAGCAAGAGAGGAGGAAAACAAACGCACGTCAATTATCGAGGCTGGCAAAGTTATCGACCTCGTTTTTATTTATCGAGCGATAAGGCGATTTATTGATTATCGCCACAGGCCTAATATCCTGCCATTTTAACCATATCTACAAACCTCCATGATGCTGTGAGTGCTCCGTCTTTTACCCAAATTGCTCTTTATAGACAACAAGTGATGATGATAAACAGTGATGGAGACTCAGAGCAGAGAGAGTGAGACTGAGCTTATTAACAGGTGGCTCAAATTACTGCTTTGATTATGATTTACTTTCTTTGATCATGCAGCTTGATGTCCCTACATTTCTGTCATTAATCAGAGAAATATAAGGACTGTCTATGAAGTCATTAAATGATTCTCCAGTTCTTAACCTTGCTTTTTATGAGAGCTTCTTTGGGTCTCTAGGCTGTAAAGATTATTCTTGGCTTTTCTCCTACACCCATATCAGTAAACTCTGTATTTCATCAGATAGATTGCACAGTTGACTGTGTGACCACTCACTTTTTTCCTTTTTGAACAAAATCCTGATCAATCCCTGCTCAGCAATCCATCACACTTGTTTCCTGTATAACTGAGACTGTTTTTGTAGCTACTTGTTCCTCATAAGATTGTTTTTACCATGAGATTGGTTTTGGACATAACCTCTGTGTTGAAATCTTATACCCTGGCTTTGTCTTCACTAATTTATTACCCCATAAATAAAGGTCTACCAATGCATCTATAGGAACCAAATACGCTTGTTGATGTCTGTGCCAAAATACACATCTGTAATACAAAACCAATGAAGAGTGCACGTGGGAAAAGAGAGAAACAAACTCTGCTACTGCCATGGATGGCTTATCTGAACAGTAAAAAGAGCTCACTATAAATCTCACTACAATGGTCAGATCTGTTATTGTTAACAGTAATGTCTGATTAGTCAAGTAAAGGAGATTAAGAGGACTTTTGTCTGCTAGTTTTAAAAAATATTTTCACAAGTGTTCCTCGAAACTAAATATTGAAAGAATTGGGAACATTAGTCTTCAGGTATTTTAGGGTAACAACAAAAAATGTCATCTAGATGACTTCAAAACTAGTCAAAAGTAGCCTGTCGAGACTTTATAAAGGAAACTGTTTATTTTAGAGACAGCTGTTCTCATTACTGTATGACACAAAATCACTGACAGGGAAAAAAGCTGATACAAACCTGAGATTACGTTTTATTTCTCGTGTAAGTTAGAACTTGTCACCTACATGTTTAAAATAAGCATTGTACTTATCTTTGAACTGAATTTTATGTAATTGTGTTGCACAAAAAAACAATAGTCTTTGCTTTCATGCTATAAAAATGCAAATTTGCCCGATGAAGTAGTTGTAAAGGACTGTGTTATCTGGTTTTATTACTAGACTTTAAAGATATTTAGGAGAAGTAATATCTGTGAAAAACATCAATAATGATAAGCACTTATGTGTGTACTCCAGTTTTGCCACCTTAGTCAAAGTCTGTATGCACCCCTGCATAGTGCATGGAGGGAAAAGTGAGGTCTGGGTGCCGTCAAATGTGCTCAACCAAAGCTGCAGGGGATTACATCTCTGCTGTTTTTTAAAGATTGAGAAGACTCTTGGCTGAAATTCAACGTCTATCCAGGACAGAACAAAAGTGACTCCTATACTGACCAGACAACGATTTACAGTCAGCTGAAGTGTAATATACTTGAGTGAAACCCAGATTAAAGGGACTGAAGCTTTAAATATTAAAAACAAGACTTCAATAGCTCTTGATTTAAAAGTCTTTTTCTTATGTCAGTAATTTACTCCTATCTAACTAGTCATACAGTTTTCTCCTTTGTATATGAATCAACCCTCATCTTATTTCATCTCTACTCTAAATGGACCTCTTGACTGTTCTAGGCCTCCACACTATTAGCTGCATTGATTGAGGAATCACGGAAAATGTGGAAGTCCTTTCACTGTTGATACAAAACTGAGTCCCGTGACTAATGCGGCGGAGAAGGTTGACAATCAGCCAGGAGCTTCTTTTAGGAACATGAAGTCATCTGAAGACACTCAGAGGTAACATTTAGCATCCCATGATGGCAATAGAGAGAGGAAAACTCAGGGAAAATTCGTGACTCACTCATCACCTTCCTGCCCCCGGGAATCCCATGAAGAGGAGTGAAATCCAACATTTGCAGTGAAGAGGGAAGTTCTAGTTTTGATCCTGGATATTACATAACCACAGTGTACTCCCTGCGGCCTTTTGTTTGTCTGGACCACCATAAATCGGCGGTCGGCTATTTGCTTTCCTCAGGATTCCTTCTTGACAGCCTGTTGAAGAAACAGATCAAAGCACAGAGAGAGCATCTCTCACCTTCACCTCTGACCTCTCTAACATCTCCGACACGTATTATTTATGAAACAGACAACGTCCGACCTCATACACCTGAATTTTAATGCTCTCCCCTCAGTGGTGAATGAGTTATGCTCTCTAATGTTACACAGGTCATACCTCAACCTGCAGGTCAGCTGGTGTCGTAAAAACATTTTTCTTTGGCACCATTTTCTCTCCCTTTGTTTGTTTTGCCCGTAAATCTTTTTAGAGTATTTCTAAAGCCCTCTTATTGAATGACATGTCCAACCAAAAGTACTGGTACAGACGCATATTTCCACATGACATGGTCCAAGTTTTACTCATCTGGGTGTCATGTTCTCCATATTGAATGACACTGTTACTCAGCTCAAAGGACAGCAGGATCTTGTTCAGTGTCTTTGTAAAAGAAGAAGTATTTATGGATAAGTCCCACAAATGTTCAAATATATCTTTAAAAAATATATTGGCTGACATCACTGAAACAAAACTCTTAAAACTGAAGCAAAACTGAAAACTTCTATTGGCTGTTACAAGAAGTTTTGATGCGTGCTCATCAGGGGTGGGCGTAAAATCAATTCATGTCAAAATCACAATTCTTAAAGGGATATTCCGGCATAAAATAAACACACCATAACTCTGAGTAAGACACCCCCTTGAGAGATAAAAACTGCCTCATCTTTTTATGCCGGAATATCCCTTTAATTCCTGCAATTATAAACCGATTTGAAAAGTCTTTGATTCGATCTCTGAACCATATTTTTGTTGCTGTTGTTTCCCCAGCAGCATATGCACAGCAGAGCTGCTCCTGGCACGCATTATTTGCAGGCCATCGACTCCACAGCAGCAGCAAGGGGTGTGTGTGTCAGCCCCGGTCAGCTGGTCGCACTGCTAACTTAGCGTGCCCCTCTCATAGTGACGCTAATTTATTGAAGGCCAGTGTTCAGTTGCTGGCTATACAGGGGGTTGACATGATGTATCGTGTATGTGAAGTGTGCAGTGTTAAAGTTCATCACTCGGAGAACACTTCAAATGCCTGAGGTCACACCGAACACCAGCACGGAAAGTTTGAAGTAGAATAAAAGCCATAACAGCTGACCGACACACACCCCAAGTCACTGAGAGTCACTAAAAGGCTCTAAAAGTACTTTATTTTTTCAAGTTTAGCTCCAAACCTTTATTACCAGGTGTTTTGAAAGTAAATAACACGATCATAGCATGTGCCGTTTGTTATCTGAAGCGTTCAGTGTTTGAATTAAATATCTAACATCAATCTTTACAGTCAGGTATCCTCATATTAGATAATAAGTCCTGTAGTTCGATTGTATTTGTAAAATAAATGAGCGAGCAGAGATTTTTGGTTGGTAAAGTCTCTGTGCTCCACTGGGACTAGAGTGTTCGGCAGCGTTGTGCGCATTGCTCCCAGACAAGCGTGCCAGCTCTAATCTCTCTCTGTCTGGAAGCACTGACCTCTTTTGTTCACTTGATGGCTTATTACCGGTATTGATTTTGGCTCCTTTATTTTCACAGACTTCCTGCAGGGCGGTAGATGACCCATGCACATATCAGCTACTGTTGGCTGCTGTCAACACCAACAAACATTACAGATCTGATCTGCTCAGGGTAATTCTATAGAAGTAGATGTATATTTCGTCTTTGGAAACATCAGACGACATGATGAGTACTCCTTTTCGGGATACGACATCTCCTGTTTTGGTGCTGGATCTTATGTGATTGCCTTGGATTTAACTCTGCGCATGTGTTTGGCTTCCCTCTGGTTGAATCTAGGCTAAAGTGGACACAGCCTCTCATACTGTAAGTGCTGAAAAATATCAGTGATACCAAGTCTGGAAAGAAAGAAGTTAAATGTGTCTGTTGAAGTCATTTATATTGTCTTAAACAATATAAATCCTTGTTTACTTAAACAAGTAAACAAGGAGAAGAGTTTACAGCTGTAATGTTATAAGACAACATTGGAAAGTATCACTGAGCTGTAGAGTAGTACCTTTGTCCATTTTTTTTAGGTTCTGGCTGATATGTCTGCACATCTGGTTTAAACCCAGGACATCCACAGTTCAGGCTCTCTGCTTCACAAAGTTTCTTCCCCCCAATCACTCTCCCTGCTGGAGGTGTTTGTGTTTTCTTCACCATGGTTTTTAAAGGCAGGAGTCACATTCTCCTGGAGATGGATGGCAGTTTGAAGCAAACAGAGACAGATGCTAATAACAGCTCGGACTGTGGGGGTCAAGTGTACATACCTTTTTGGAAACAGCAAGAGAAACATAGTGAAAGCAGACAGCACATTGTCATGGTGACATTTGAGGATGACAGCTTGTAAAGTTGTAGACTTTTGCATGCAGTTATAGAAACAATACTTGACCGGTGCAGTAGGGTGTAGTTTTGATGGGATTTTGGATAAAACCAACAATAATGAGGGAGCCAGGTTTTTTGAAATGTGTCGATCCTTGTTTTTTAGAGCTCAGTCAAGTCACCATGTAACTTCATGTGTTTAACCATCAATTCAATCCCAGACTGACTGTCAGAAAGCAGAAAATGTTCAAAACTGATTTTTTACTTTAGTCATTTGTCAGCTTAGCAACTCTGAGGATAGGGGGAGCACTGACTGTGGTGATTTGCATAGGCAAACATGCAAAACCTCTTGCACACCTTGAGCGATCCCACATGTCCTACACTTTTGTGGTTTTGCGTTGGTGTTGCAGTCTGGATATCAACAGTTAGAGTCAGACTGCTCTGTGGTTGATTGGGAAAAACCAACTGAAAGCCCTATACTCTGTTCCAGCACTGTGGTTGCATTTTTTAAATGAGGACTGTAAGTGCAGAAAATGCTGAACTGCCTTTAGTTTGAATAGAAAAGAGGCTCTGTCAGTGCAAGAAAAACAAACAAAAAAATCATCAAACCTTTTAGTGATTCTAGATTTTTTCTTTGATTGTCATTTTTAGGTCATACTGAAGTTAGACTTTGGAAAACAAGGAAAACATTAGACTTACTAAAAGTCCACAGGTTAATGTTTGCAGTGTGAGCATGTTGGCATGTCAACAGTAACATTAAAGGGATATTCCGGCGTAAAATTAATTTGGGGTCAAACACCGAGTTAAACACCTCCACGAGACATGAATGTTGCCAACTTTAGTAACGACCGTACGATAGCAATACACAGCGGTCTGAGGAGCCATAAACAAACCTCAACCAAAAAGCCACTCTATAGCCACAAATAATGCTCAGAACAGAACCTAACTTCATCAACAGAACATAAAGGGTCTTAGCTATTGTACTTGCCATAGCCATTGAATTTCCCTTCAAGGATTAACAAAGTTCTTCTTCTTAAACATCTTTTTAACTTTGCCTAATTTCTTTTGCAAAGAGACCAAACACAACTCACATACTCTCTTCCAGTAGCCGCTTGTTTGAAGTGAGACCAGTCCATTACAGACTGCTGCAGGGTGACGCAGCTCAAAGAAGAACATTTATGATTAACATTTATGATGACTAACTCGGTGTTTGGGTGTGTTTGACCCTAAATTAATTTTACGCCGGAATATCCCTTTAAGTGGGGTGGATGAGCTTGAGGCTTTTGATGAGGGACTCTTCTCCATTTTGTCATCAGAAATAGCTCATAAAAATAAGACACAGAACTCTGTCACTGACATGTCGTCAATAAAATGATGATGGTGATTCATTTTTTTACAACACTCCCCTTTAAACAAATCAAGTTGTTTGAATATAGACTATAAACTCTTTTTTTTTCATATTTCCTTCATATAAGATCCTATCATTCTCAGAAGTTTGAGGAGAATTAAGATTTTTTTTGCGTCTTTTGCTAAATATACAGTTTCCATGTACTTCATCACAGTTTTTAAGTGTAGATCTCTTTCATGGGGATTTCAAACCACAATACATGTGACTTCATAGCTGGAAGAAGTTCACTGGTGTGCAGCAGGAGGACTGAATGCTTTGGTGCTCCTCACAGTCTATGGCATGTTCACTCAGCGTGGTTGACTGCTTTTCTTTTCTTTCAACGTCGCTCAATTTCACCCAGAGAAATCTTAAAACCGGAACATCAATATTTATGATAATGTGAGAGCGAGCTTAGATTCTTTTTCTTTGTTTCCAGGTTAAAAAACAACCACTGGTCACTACTTTCTAGAAAGAACGTAAATACTTTATGCACCAAATCAATATCAGATGAAGTTGATTTACAACTTCGAGGCCACCTGCTAACCATCCTCCCATTCCCCCCTAATTCTTCCCCATCCTCACCATTAACCAGTGCTTTAGATTTAGTTACTGCTGAGAAATACGAGATGGTTTAAAAATCTGGTCCCCCGTAAATTGACAAACTCTTTTGTTTAAGTTTACCTGTCACAGTCCAGTAAAAGTTATCCTGACCTTACTCATACTTCTGACTATCTGCTGATAATTTGTTAGTCTGAGATTCAGTGAGATGTCTCTTCAGTCTCCCCTGCAAAGGAAGACATAAACAAACTGAAATCACAAGACGGTTTATAACAATAACAATGAGGTGTTTAACATCATCAATAATGTTCATAGGATCCAGGCTGCTTTTGTTTTGTTGGATAGAAAGTTAGTGGTTTAAGACTTAAACCTTTGTTAAAAAATATGTGAAACTTTCTGTGAAGTTGCGATGGTCTTTTCTGTGAAATACCTTCAGCTGATTTGCATTTGTTGTTTATTGTGCTTTCTCTGCATTTTGCAAAACTTGTCCTCAACACTCATAAATGACCAAACCTCATGTTATACACAGTAGTCATACCTTTTGTGCTTTTGCCAAAGCTTCCTACCACATTGTAAACAGATAGCTTCATGAGAAATGATTGTTAGTTTCTTTTTTTCATGAATGTATTGTACTGACATTTACTTCTGTGGTTTTTGGAAATATTTTATGTACTAACACATTAATCTTATTTAGTTTCTGCTGAGGAAATTTTGTATTCCTGTGGCACTTAGAGTACATATTTGGGAAAAGCCTCAACCAGTCAGTATGTAAAAATCTACTTGCATGCAACTAGTGTCCTAGTCCGAACTTTAAAGTAGTTAAAAGGCAAATTTTCTTGTTTTCTATTGGATTGACATGAAACAAAAGTGTTGTAAACAATTTTGTAAATGTAAAAGACCTAACCCTCGAATACATTTCGATTTGAATAACTTGATATATATCTTTGTATAACAAAAGTGAGAGATTTTTGGATACTTTTACCACTGTCTGACCCAAGGAATTAATACATAGAGGATTGGAGCACCAAACTCCCCCACTCACTAACAAAACAAGCCTAGGTAAAAGTTTAAAATTTTACAATATTTCATGTAAATCATATTCTGGCAGTAGATTTTAGGTTAAGGGCCTGTGTCCACTGACAGCATTTTTTGTTGTCTTATTGTTGTTAAATAAAATTGTAACTTTATTAATGAAAGTTCACAAAGTAAACATACTTACACCATCAAAAACAAACAAACAAACAAAAAAACTAATGCTGAGGGAGTTTTGCATTTAGGATTTCGCCAGTGCAGAAGATGCTAGTGGACACAGGCCTTTATTTTAGGTCACAAAAAGTTTAATTTAGAGCAAAACACCTGAATCTTTCAAAATGTTGGATAAAAAAGCATCTTTAATTTCCACGCTTTGTATTTTCAGGTTCAGACAGAGTTTTTAGATCCTGTAGCTACACTAAGAATCTGAAGGAAATTATAGGGTTGTAAAAACATGTCACTGAATTATTACATCTGGACTCCCTACCAGTGTTCCTGCATCTGTTCGATATTACAGTAGGAAGACAGCTGCCAGTAAGTCGTTATTTTATATATACATATATACATATACATATATAAATTAATAAAGAGAAATGGTTTCAAAGCTTAAATGTGTAAAGCACAAAAAATAGTGGCTCTAAGACAAGGGATTATAGGATCAGTTTTGGATAAGACCCGACAGAGAAACAGATGTGCTTTTATTGGGAGGCACCTGAAGGTTCGAGTTCAAAATCCACTTCCTTTCAAGTGCAACATTTATAAAAAGTTATGGGTTTAACCTCTGTAGCTGCAGGGTCGTAAAATATTAATTTACAAGGAAAGCTTTATATTATTGTGCCAAAATCAGTTATGCTTGTTTGTATTAGTGCAGCTTAAAGCTCCTGTGAGAAACTTTCCTTCTGACTAAGTTTTTTGACAAATGGACAGTGAGAGTGTTTATTTCTTTAGTAACTGTGGGTGTTTCTGTTTGAGGTTGGCAGTGATGGTGATGCCTAAGGTTGTCAGCATTCCTGCAAATGAACAGCAAATGCAAAATATCTTAACAAGTTTGTCTTCAATGAGAATAAAGATGTGTCAAATACAATTTTATCCAACTAACAAAACATCTTAGGACTCTCTTTTATCTGTCATAAAAGGATTGTGAAAAGATGATGATTAGCTGCAGATACCTCCGTTTGCTCTTTCAAGTGCAGAAAGAATGGTGTGCTGTGCCTCATGAGGGCAGCCATGCTAGTTTAAAATATACACAGCAGCGTCTGCATGATGGATTTCCTCTGGTCTGGGTGTACTCCTTATGCCTGCCATACAGTAGAGCAGCAGTGCTGATGGTTATTGATAGCCAGCTGGTTCATCTGTGTATCAGTCAGCCCTTAGAGAAGATAATTCACCCCTTGTCTACTCCCAGTTGAATGTGGTCCATTTTTAGACTGTTAGCACTGCCATATTTTACCCCTCTAAGAAGAGTTTACTGCTTTGATTTCACCGAAAGTCATTATTCACACAGTCATTAATCTACTTTATTTCTGTGTCTAAAGTCTAGAAACTAGCGTCTGATCAGAAGTGTTATTTTCTCTATATGTAAGCTTTATCATTGAGCGTTTATTCATTTAAATACATCTTGTATGGCTAAAAAAAGACCAGGCCCTCACAGTATGCAACGTCACAGAAGTGAGAACAATGACTTCATGCTCCCACACATTTTCCATGCGTCCATTTCCAAGCTGAGACCACAGAGCTCTTGCAGCTGTGTGCATAAAAGCGCTGAGTAGCTGCTAACTAAGGCCAGGCTGAGTAGCCTCTGTGAAGACCAGCCATCTCCCGCAGCGGGTAAATGTCAGTTAGATGGAATGAGGCAGGCCTTGAAAGCAGGGAGGCCCTGCAGCTCAGTGGAGTAGCAGCAGTGTTTTAACTTATCCAGGCTTATTTTCAGATTTATTTCACAGCTCATGAAGGGCGACTTGTCACACTGACATGTTTGGAGCACCGACATAAAGCCGCCAACACTGTAAGATCAGTGGGGCATGAATAATATGAAGTATTTCACGAGGATCGCTGCAGACCAACAGAACTCCCTATATTTGGCTCTCTCTGTTAAAGTCCCAGTCCAATTTTTCTCTCTTTTTTTTTTTTTACTGCTTAAAGTGTTATCAGTGGTTTTTAAATTGTGATTAATAAGTTTTTAGCGAAAACCACGTTACCTGTGTCATTTGCAAGGGCTTTTCTTCTGCAGAGCTCCAGTAGCTCATTAGCAATTCACCTCTGAGTTGTGGGCGGAAACAGCACTGCTCTGCACACTCCTCGTCACGCTAGCTTGCAGCCTAACATTGCTGGTGTAGTAGAAGTGACAGGTAACATATGAAATCAGGTCCCAGACATGGAAGTCTTTGGTGGCATGATAAAAGTTTATATCATAATTAGCTTTCTTACAAGCATTTCAATCCGCTAACGCACACGCTTGTTCCGCGATCATCCTCGCTACTTTTCTGAGTCTGGCCTACAAAGCGGAGCTCCGGGGGCGGAGCTTGGAGTTGTTACATAGGAAATCTCACTGAATCTTAGCCTGCCGTTTGGGTCTGGCGGGAGATACTCAGAAATGCAATTTTGCACTTAGTTTTCACATGATATGTCCTGTAGCATTAGAAAAACACCAGATGAACATGTAGACAACTAGAAAAACATGATTTTCGTCAGAGTGGTTCCTCAAGTCCAGTGGCAATGTAGTTGGATTTGCAGGGCTTGGGGACTGAGACCAGGTCTGTAGTATGACCTGTGATTAGATTGATTAATGTTGAGAAGGTAGTTTGGGATTTCATGAATCCTGAACCTCAACTTTGATCTTACCTCAACTGTAACCAACAGCTGAACTCAAGTCTCAAAGCAAAACCGTAGAAATTAAACTTGGTTTTTTTTTGTTGCACTAAGATTTTAGACTGAAAGAGAGGATTTTTTTCAAACTGATGTGTCCTACAAACTGAGTGGACACAGAGGTTATAAAGGATTCTAATTGCTTGAACGTCTTTAACACCAGAGACAGGATTACAGTCTAATGCTGCACACGCCAACAGAGACCTTGGCATGAGTGTTGAGAGTGATATCTGGGTGGACACATTAACAGCTGTTATTCTCATGCTGTGCTGTGTGTTGGTTTATTTTAGGACAGTTAATGAGTTTATCATTACGACAGCTTTATATGGATCCAATGTCTTCTTTGGTTAGAAAGCTTATTTGGACATATTTGTTGTTAAATATCAGAGTGATTATAAAATGTTTGACTTTTAAAAACTTTTTAAAGTTAAATAAGGTGAGCAGAGCATTTGCATTCAAAGGTTATGGGTTTATTCTGAAAGTATGACTGAGCCAGACGGTATCTCCTGCTGAACTTTCTCTCTGGATTTCAGACGACTTTGTGAGCTTAATAACCCCACAACACTGAGCTCACTGAGGCGTGCAGGACTCACAAAGGACCGTCCCAATACAGTCAGTGCATGTCTTTGACTTCTTTGTCTGTTTTAATTGACAATGATAATTTCTCTCTCTGTGGAAAAGGACTATTATCTGAGTAAATTAACCAATCAATTGGACAGAATGGAAGAGCTGAATGTCTTTTTGAACTGGAGGAAAAATTGGACGGTGCTGTCAAAAATGTTAGACATATTTCACCTTTGTGGTCTCAGGGCTGGAGCACCATGTAAAATCTGTTCAGGTGTTTAATAAGAAGTGGTTTATTGTGAATTTCTTGTCTTAAAAATGAACATTTTAAACATTATCTCAGGCTGATTTGAAAGATTGCTGGAAAAGTTTATTTCAACTTCTTTTTTGAGGCACTTTTTGTTCTTGTTGATGAAGAGACTGAAAATTCAAGGAGTAGAGAGTGAGGTAAAGCACGCACTAAAGGGTCATTGCTAGGATTTGAACCAGCATACTGCATATGCTTAAAGAAGATGCCACCCAGCTAATACTTGTGATACCACAACTTTTCCTTTACTTTCCCAAGTCTGGTAACTTGTTTGGTGTTTAGTATTAATCTAAAATGTCTAAATCTATCCCTTTGAAATTAGTCATTCATGGTCCTCATAGGATAAATCCCTTTCTCTAATTTTAATGTCACTTTTCCTCAATGTTAAATGTTTAAAATAACTTTAATATATAGTGTCATAATTATGGCATATTTGTTCCCTTTAGGATAGACAGTAAACAAACTATAGATATTCATGATCCCCAGAGGAAGATTCACACTGACATTACAGATTCCTGGTGGACTAAAGTTTGTCAACATGTTTGAATTTTTTAAAAGATCTGAACTTTATCAGGAGCCTTACTATGAAATTGTGTGCAGATATTCATGGTTGTCAGTGGATAGATCCCATTGATTATATGTTATTCCTGACTTCTGGATTTAGCTCCATCACCGAGTTAGTTTTCACTTTTTTGTTGTTTTGTAATTTGAAAGTTCATGCTAAATTCGAATGGTTAGAAAGTGTAATTGTTAAATTCACTAGTACTTCAAAAGAGGCAGACGCTCTTATGTTGTGAGCATAGACTGTTTACAGAACTGACAGCGTCTGCCTATTCGCTGGGTGAGGCCACCACGAGAATAGCACCCTCTGGTGACGGGCTGCAGTATAGGTCATTAATCCTGCCTCCTCCAGCAATCCCTATGGAGCTGTGGACAAACTTTAGAAATTTATTACGCAGAATATAAATTTTTCTTCCCCCTGGTTGTGATGCTGATATGTAGGTACTGTAAGACTGGTTTGTGCTCAAGTCCTCTTTTTTCTGTGCAGCTCCATTTTTAAAAGTTAGTAGGAGGTTCATGTTCTCTATGATTGACACTTGATACAGCCTATGGGCGTACGAAGGTTATGTAGTTCACCCGGGGGATATGCTGTTTGAGCCGAGCATCACCACAGCGATTCTCCTGCCGAATGCGTACAATGCTACTGCGCAAGTGGTGGTCCTAGGAAGTGGAGAAAAACCCGGAAATACTGAGAGCAATTCAGTTTCAGATTTATATAACAACGAAAAGCGGAACCAAGTTGTCCACAGTATATACAGTCTATGGTTGTGAGTTTTAAGAGTATTAGATCATCTTGTGGAAGGCTGCTACAGCTAGCTGTCTCGCAGGTGGTGCTTCTTCATTTTCCCTCCATTTTATGCCTGGTGGACCACTAATTCCCCCCACTATGAACCACTTATTTACACAGTGTTACTGAGTTCGTATTTCTGGCACAATGTCAGAAATTAACATTTTCAAAAGATTATTATTAATTATTATTATTATTATCCAGTACAATGCAAAAGCCCTAATGCAAATGCTTCAGGATCAGTAAAGGTCTAATTTTCTTCATGAAACGTAACATAAACTGCAACGATCAATGACCGGACACTGATCTTATTAAGGATAATGAGCCAAACATAGATGCAAACAAAGAGTCACATTCTGTCAGGATCATTCACCAGTGTTACACTAATCCTCCAGCTAAAGCTTGTGGAAGTGCAGATCCTCTAATCTGCGCAGAACACAAGCTCATTAGAGCTACCACACTGAGACAACAAAGAGAAGGGATCTCAGTGCAGAGCCTGGACTCAGTGGTTTTTGGTTGAAGCAGTCTTTCAGTTCTAACTGCAATCAGACGCTTTCAGCAGACTGGTTGGAAAGTCTCAGGATCGACCTGAGAGGGATTTGTGATGCATGCAGGGCCATATTAGTTCATGTTTGTATGAGCTGTGACATCTCTGGTCTGCTCTGTGTCTGAACAAGGCCATTAGCTGACTCAGAGTAAGACTGATGAGGATTCAGCTCCACAAGTTTGAATGCAGAGCTCTTCATTTCTATTGTTGTTGAAGCCTCAGATGTTTGTAACTCTGCTTCCTGATGTTGATATTTGCAACAAAATTAGATGTTTAAGAGGATTTCGAAGGCCCTTGACAAACAATTCCAGACTCCTCACCTTTTTATGCTGCTAGTTTTTTTTATTGAGTCATTAAATGTATTCCTCTGTGAAACATTTACTGCACGGTAGCTGTGTTTTTCACCTCGTGTAACCCTACAGGTCTCATCAACTTTATTGTTTTTCTGACTTTTACCAGCCTTTCTCCAGCCGCAATCATGAGACAAATTATGGTTTCTTTCGAGTGTTTCAGTAAAAAACAACGCAAGTGTCCTGTGAGTGTCAAAGCTTTGCAGGAGTTTTTTAGTGGGTCATTAAAACCAAAGAGGTCATCAAACAGCCAGCTTCTCTGTGACACTTTGTTGACAATAAATCACATTGCTTGTTCTGGAAAACTTCACAATCTTAAAAGTTCAGAGAAACAGATTTAAAGGGTTTTGGTTTATGATTGTGTTGTGCTGTGATTATCTGGGGGTGAGTCTGAAAATAAGCAATTAGAGGAGAAAATCACTCCCCTTCATTCTAGATTTTGATGTGTTTTGGTTTAAAAGTGTTGGATGATGCTTTTTTCTAACTCATCCTAGATGTCAGAGTAATACCAGATCATCAAACACTCTCTAAAGACACACCTAGGTTATCACTGGGGTGACCAGTTGTCGTCAGAAGTAACATAGATAGTGAATAGTAAGTGTCTCATTTATAATCGATTTGATTTTGACAAATACCTCTTACAGTGAAGCCCCTTTGGAAAACCAGCTGGTAATTGTCAAACTAACTCCAAATTATGAAAGTCCCCATGCAAATATTTCAACATTATCAAGAAGAAAACAGCCTCAATCGCTTTTCCATTACAAGACTTTATTTGGAAATAGAATTATAGTTAAATTTATTTCCTCAATTGTTTCTTATAAACATGGAATATTGAAGATCCCAACTGGTTAAGTTACTTGGCGTCTCAGCTCTTGTTTTCCCTCATTTTATCCATGTTCCCTCAAAAGAAAAGCAGAAGTCGTATAATTTATTTTCCTTTCATATTCTGAGAAATCAAACCGCTGTGTTTGCAGCCCTCCGGGTTCATTTTAGGTGAACAGATGAGCCTAAACTAACCATGACCCATTGAACTCTATGATTACAGCCCTGTTAAAAGGTCATGCCGGACACTCTTGGCCTTTCTTCGTGCCACTTTTATCCTGTTGAGATTACAGAGGACAGGAGCAAGCAGCGTGGAAGAACCAACCCTAATTCACAAGTAAGAACGCCACAGTCTAAACCACCAATAAATGTTTAGTCTTCAACATACTTTGAAGAGCACAGGAGACGACAATTTATTACAGCTCACAAAAAAGAAATCGTACAAGCCTCTGTGATTTTATATTTTAAAGAAAGACACTTTGAAACAGTTTACTAAGAAGCATATATATGTTTTTATCACTGTGGTTGAGTATTGCAGTATTTTACAGGTTTGTTTTCACCAATTAATCTGATGGTTTTAAGTTTCTCAGTGCAAGGGTCAGAAAAAAATGTAAAGACTGACAAAAAATGACAAACAAAACAATTTCATGTCGCTTGTCTTTTTTAAATTTTGGGTAAACTCCCTGAAATAATCAATTTATTGTCACATTAGATGAAAAAAAGTAGACCTCTCTATGTTCAAAGCTGAGAAAGATGATTGATAATGATGCACTGTCTACACTAGAGTCTAATACTGGAATTATAATGTAACAAGTATTCTGTGAGTCCAACAAATCCAACTATTTAGAAGAACCGCTACATTTTTGGAATTTTTGGAGGAATTGTTCTCCGCTCAAACCCCGCCTCACAGTAAACAGCCTTTTTATGGCCTTGATTAGCTTCTGGTCATTCATGGTGGTCTTGAATCTGATCTCTGCCTCTGTATTTACTCTATTTAATCCAAAATCATGTTCTCACATCACTATTTCTTCTGTTGGCTTACATTTTCTGTATCTTATTGTGGCCACATGTTGAATCAAAGCTTAGCGTAAAGAATTGAACCTTGTTGAATCGGGTGTGATCTGATGCCCTGTAACACCCACTTTAGACTCCGACACAGAGCACCTGTGTTGTTTTAACGGAGGATGGTTTTGGTCTGAGCTTCCTCACATCTGTGGGACAGATGAACTCATGAACATGTTTTACTATTGTACTTGTTTTCATGCTAGTTTTTCGTAACGCTTGGTAACATTTTTACACAAGATGCTCTTTGATTGGTAAAATTTATACCATGCTTGGGATTGAGATGTCTTGTGGTTCACACAGCCAGACCAAGTTTTTTCTGTTATTTATATTTGGTTAAGATTTTAAAAAAGAGAGAAATAAGTGTTTCAGAGAGAAAGAATCTGCAGATTTGAGTTCCTTCACTGTTATTCCCCTTGTACTCTTACATGTTAAATACAGTCATGTTGAAAGTATTGTCATGAAATATGATTGATTCATCATCCCCCGAGGATATACCCTTGTGATATAGATGAGCTATACATGACAGTAACATAAGTTCATCCAGCAGTTTGACAGAAAAATATTGACGTTTGATTGATTTGTTACCAATATAGGTCAGAAATGCGTGTTCCCCAGAGGATAAATCCCATGTTATTGATAATTCCCCCATTTTTTGGAAAGTACCACCAGCAGCATAATTTTGAGAAGACTATCGTTAATATTTGGATGAATCTTAAGTTTCCCCTGACTTGTGGATGATATTTAATGTCTAACCATCAGAATATAACAACAACTACTGGATGGAAATGCTGTGCAGACATGCTGTTATCAACATGTATGTAAAAGGAAACATTTCATAGATCATGACAAGCAAATATAAAAGAGTTATTTTCACTTTTTGGTAGCCAGACCAGTGAAAAAAACAAAGGCGGCAGTAAAAATTGAGCCACTGACCCGACACATTTGCCGCACTGTAAATGAACAGATTTCTTCACACTGACAAGCAAAACTGTGATGTTAAAAAGTGGTTTATTAATCATAAACCCACATGTGTTCAATATATGGGCATGCTGAATCAATCAGTTTATTGTTCATGGAATAGCTTCACAGAGCAGCTTGAAGTTGAAGTTTTGTGAAGTCACAGACTCGGTTGGTGAAGTGTTTATGTCCCATGAGTGGTGCACATCCTTTGAATTGTCTTGTTATCATAACTGCCATGTTGTTTATAGCTGCACCAGCAATATCTTTCAAATGTTCTCTGCTGGTTTGTGTCTGACCCACATGGGCGATAACTGCCATGTGTGGTACATGTGAAACACATGTGGAGTCTGAAATTAAAAGGGGCCACAGTGTGACTTATTTCCTCGGTTCCACACACATTTTCTCGCTCTTCAGCGCTCTCCTTCAGACCAGGATCCCTGGGGTCTTCTGAAGCCCAGGAGCTGGATAGATTTGATGAATGGTGACATATTTTATGAGTTTATCCTCTCTCTGTGAGTGGACCCTCTTCAGCACATACTTGAACTCGATTTCAGACATGCCTATATTTCCTGTTGGCATCTCGAGACACTTGGTTGACTTAGTATTCCGTGTCTTCGTATACCTGCCCTGACGGTGCTTCAATGAAAAGTGACAAATCTGCTTAACTCTGTTGTTGTTTTAGATTAGCGGGATCTATATGCTCCTCCTCCCTCTTGCCTGTCTTTATCAACAAAGTAGAGCCAATGTAGAGACTTTACCTGGGAGTGCAGGTCAAATCCTCAGAGCCAGCCAGTATCAGGAGAAAACTGCAAACAAAACATAATGTTA